GTCCCGACCCGAGCCGGTATGGATTTTCGTCGGTCTGGGGGGCCAAAAGTTACAAATCACACATTTCCCAAGCCACCAGTCATGTTCAGGGTCAGACATGTGTACCATCTGATAGCCCTCGTTGAGGCGCATCTTTTGCACCTGTCACATCTCTGGTACCATGTGACATGACTTCACAAAACACCGGTATCCGAAAACCCCCTCAGGACGGTTTGTTCTCCAGGAGCTTTCCAGGGTCCTGTGGAAGTCCTTCGATCAACACACACCATCGGGAAATCAGAATTGGGTCCAAAAAGGCTCTCGGGTACTCACAGCACGGGAAAAGATGAGGCAGTTATCCGACCCGTGACAGTGATACCGGATCTTATGACTGAAATCTGTGAAGGTCGTTATTCCTCTTCAGAAAGAGCCAAGAGCTCTGGATAAAGACAGGATATAGCAAATCAAACTCCAAATGCAATCTCCGAGCACAATCCTTGATCATTTAACCTAGTTTGTTCCTTCCCAAGTTTTCTGCATTTTGAAAAACTCCTTTCGAGTTTATACATTCAGTGTAGGTCTTTGGTAAACGATTTTTCAAGCGTAAAATCCGAAAAGTTATGTATACCCTGTTGATTTATTTATAAAGCTTGCCGAGAGATCGGCTCGGATTTTGTGCTTGAGGTTTTAGAGGTCTTTCATAAGCTGATTCACCAGTTTAAGATTCTAGGTTTTTTTTTCTTTTCAAAGTCATCTGAATCAAAAGGTTTAAGCGGAAATGATTCGAAGTGGAGAACGGAATTTGATTCTGGCTATAAAAACAAATTCAAGTTCAATAAGATTTGGATAAATCATGATTCCTTTTTTTATGATTCCCAGAGAACCGATATGGTAACATGAAGGCTTGAAGTTGCATTCACATTCCCGTATATAGGCAGCTAAAAAGGTTCAAAAGTTCCTCTTGCAATGACTGCAATCTGCTCCTTTTCAAACACAAATACCCCCCCATCTTTCCGTACTCTTTCCTCGAGTCCAGACCAACTCCAAAAAAACCCTTTGAACAATCAGATCGAAATCCTAGAAAAAAAATGTCTTTCAAACATTTAATTTTTCTTTTGATCATCCAACTTAGTTTTTTCAAGTTTTCAATTACTTCTAAACATAAATGTTCCAATGAATTTACATTTAAAAAGGGAGAAACCAAAGGATGTAAGTTTAAACCAATTTCTTCTTTTTTTGTTTTGGTTGAATTAATCAAGCTGGATTTTCTGTGGGGAAAAAGTGTGTAAAGATTCCAATCAAATTGATCATAGATGTGTAAGATCAAGTTGTGGTTATGAAAGTAAGTAACCTATTCTTGTTCTTATTGTTCTTACAAAAAAAAACCGGTTCGTTGATTGAAGATTTGGATCATATGGTTTTGGTGTAGAAAAACGTTATGTTCCTATAGATGGTTGTACATTGTATGGTACAAAAGCTCCTAAAACTAATCCAACTCAACAACAATGTGAACAATATCAATTTCCTTCACTTTATGATAATCAACAAATTCGTTAGTCATATTCTTTGTTTTTTTTTTATTTTTGAAAGGTTTGAGTATGTATTGAAGATACTTTTTTTTTTTTTGATGGAAACTTTTTTTAGTTTGTTATAATGGAGCTGGTGTTAGTTTTCTTTGTCCTGGTATACCTGGAAAATCTCCATCCTTAGGTAAGTTTTATTCATTCCATTTCATTTTTTCTTTTGGTATAAGAAAGCTAAAAGTTTAAATGATTTTTTTCTCTTTTGGACAGTTTGCTCAACTTGTGATGATTGATAAGAAAAAATCAAACATGATTAAATTGAACTATTTTTTTTGGATATTTTTGAATCTTATGTACACTACATGTTTAAGTTGTAGGGATTGGAATGAATTCTTGTTTTTGATTTATCTGCATATGTAGTCTTGATATCAATTCTTTTTTTTGAGAAATGTGAAAAAACAATCAAGTTTCTCCAAAAAAACATTTCATAAACGTTGTAATTAAGGAGGAAAAGTATTGAAGATAAACTTGTTATAGGATATGAAGAATTTGGATGACTTTTTTTGTAACACAAAAGAAATAAGGAGAACTTTCACACGTGCATACTTACTTTGAGTACCGCAATTTGATGAAGGAAATTAGTGACTCTCTAAAGAATTATATGCTTATCTAAACCCTCACACAACTCTCAAGCTCCGAAAAGAAACCTCATCAGTTTCTTTGAAAAGATGGCTTTTTTTCTCTAAAAAGGTCTTTCTTTTCTTTTCAAAAAATGTTGTTTTTTTGCAAAAAAAATGTGTTTTTCAAGGTATAAATATAAAACAAGAAACATTCAACAATTAAAATTCATAATTAGGGTACTGATTAAACTGATTAACTAAATTCATAAAGAAAAATCAAAAACAAGCTTAAATGATAAAAACCAAACACAAAAAGATGATTTAGAGTATAAGAAATTAAATTAAATAGTTTTGGATATTAGGTTTTTTAAAACAAATTAAACTTATCAAAGAAATTAAAGAAAACAAACTAAAGAAGAAAACAAACAATGAATGAATGAATGAATGAATGAAGTTTTTTGATTTCTTTGATTTTGTTTTTTCGAAAAATATTAATAGAAAAGACAATTAAACTTTAACTTTAGATAAAGATTTGATTAAATCAAAGTACCAATCAGATTTATAATCGATTTCACTTTTTTCTAAACTTAATAAATTCGATAACCTATTGAAAGATTTCTTTTTACTACTTTTACTTTTAAGATTTTCAATTTCGATTTCTTTTTGAGTTTCTTTTTCTTTTTCAATTCGAACTTCTTCTTTAATTTGAACATCTACTTTACTTTCTTTTTCTCCATCTTGATTTAATTTTCCTTTCTCTTCAACCTCAGATCGATTCAATTCCTTCTCATGATCAGAACCCAAAGCAGGAGAATTAAAATGAGTTGTAGGATGACAATGGTTCGACGACATATTAGAATAAAACCTTTGAAGATTATAAGGTGTATAAGAAGACCCACAACCCATAAGAGTAAGTGAGATATCTTCTTGAATGGTATCTTCATGATGAACCGATGCAGAAGTTTGAGAGTAATTAGAACCACCTGAATCCCTTGCACCATTTGAACCCGACCCGTTCTTCTTCTTCAATTCATCTTCATGTTTAGAATGATCAAATAGATTGGTCGTATGTTTTTTAAGAAATGGGGAACGAGAATGAGGTGTGTAAGTAGATTTCTCAATGATTTTCGTTTTGAAGTACGTTTTGGATGGATGCTTTGTAGTAGGACTTAAGGAATGGATCGCAGATTCTAGCATCGAAAACCTTGATGGTGGTGTGCTAGGTAATGGGATCGAAAGTGGATTAGGACTATCTTTGATAGAATTAGAATCATGGAATGCTTTCCAACTGGATGAAACCTTCTGAAGACCTTCTGAAGCATCATTCCTTGCATCTTTTTTCATCGAGTTTCTACGACTAAACTTTTCATCGGAGTCTTGAACTTGAATTGAACGTCTTGAAGGTAAATCTTTTTCTGTATTGTCTTCTGGAAGCATAGCTAATCCAATCTCTTCAATCGGTGGAGAAAGTTGAGCAGAATACTCTCGGTCTTGTTGTTCTTGAAGTTCACTTGAAAGCTTGGGGTCATAACTCTTGGGATCTGTACCACACAAAGTTAACTCGTCTTGACTTTTTTGGGTTTCAGTAGGAAAAGAAGTATGTTTAGGAATCACTTCGTTTTCAGGAATAGATCCGAGTTTTGGAAAAGGATTAGGATGAGTGATTGGATCAACGATTTCTAGTTTAGATTTACAATTGGATGGTGAGAAATGATTTAAATTCAAAACACGTCTTCCACAAGTTTGAGATCTTTTAATGGCTGGAGTAGGACTAGTTGTAGTGGGATTCTGTCGATGTAAAAGATACGGTTTAAGTTTGGAATTTAAAGTAGTTGAGGTTGTACTTGAACATCTTCTTAATTCTACTTTTGGTTTGATTTCTTGAATCTCATATCTAGGTGTCTTAATAAAATCAAAATCTGGTGTATGAATTCTTTTTGGATATGAAATCATTAGTTTATTAGTTACAGTCGGTCTTGATTTTAATTTTGACTTGTTAGATGGATGATTGGGTTTAGATGATGAGGAATCAAGTGTTAGATTCCGTTTAGCTGATTTAATGAATCTGTCGAATGCTTCTTTTGCATTAAGATTAAATGGGTTATGTTTCTTTAAAGAACTAGTTGAAGGTTTATGTTTGATGGATTTATGAGAAAGGTTTGGTTGATCTGAAATAATCGGAGATGGACATGAAGTGGTTTGTTGAGAAGTCGTGGTATGACGGTTAAGACCGAATAATGAATCTGAGATCTTAGGATTACAAACTGGTGGTGGTTTTCTTGTGATGGGTTTGATAACTTGGTCTCGAGTTTTGGTTTGAGGAGGATTGAGTTGAGGAACTGGTTTGGCATTGGAATCTATTTCAAGAAATCGCGATTGGTTTGCTGAGATTGGCTTAGAGCTTGGAGTTCGACTGTCCATATCATCACTTTCATTCATCCAGATCACATATCATAGTCAGTTTTTGCTCATCGGTTGAAGTCGGATGACATAGAAATCAACTCACGCAACACGATCAGAAGCAGCACCACCCTTCTTATATGGCGAGAGTTTGCAAGGAGAATTCCCAACAGGAGCGGGATGAGACTTTTTCGCTGAATACATTTATCCTGATGAAGTGGGACGCTTTTGAGATTGTACCAGTTGAAGTCAAAAAGAACAGAAGTATTATCGATTAAGACGAGAATGAAAAATCGCGCTTATGATTGGTATGATTGGTATGACTGGTATAAATGTTGATCGATGAAGATGAGGAAACGGCTCGAAGCAATTGAATGAATGAAGATAATCAAAAAAACAAAAATAATCCTGACTATGAAGGATTGAGAGAAAGAAAACTGGGAGAAGTTGAAATATATTTATTTATATATTTATCTAACCATAGAGATAGAGATATGATTGAAGGAAGATTGTGAAAAGGAGAATTTGATGAGGTTTTGAGATAGTTTATGAGAAAAAGTTTTGGAAAATCGATGAATCCAGTTGAAAAGAAATTAACTTTATTCATCCGATTCCTTGGTATGGACGGGACGAGTACTACTACGAGAAAGGGTTGAAAGTAGAGTGTCAAAGGAATTATATCATACCATCTTTCATTCGGTTTTCATGCCATCATCAACCTATCACCATATGACAGTGTACCCACTACAATGACAGATCATAATGCTAGTAAGATGAAGTGTGAGATCTGATAATGTCACTTCAAAGACTTCAAGTCTTGATTTTGATCCTGTCTACATCAAAGCTTGGGTCTCCGGATCGATGAGAGTATCGTGTCAGAAAAGATTTAAAGGCCTTTAATGATTCCTGAAGGTATGGATATACTTGATCGTTCATGAAGAAATGAAATATCAAGGATTTCAATAGTGCTTTCAAATCTGTCTCAAAGGTATATTCGAAAAATGTCCTTCAAAAGCTACTTCAGTCAATTCTTCTTGAAAACAATCATCTTAACTGATTTTCAAGCACCCCTCAGCTTCTCGTTCCACGAGTTTTCGAGGAAGGTGAAGCGAGAGTAGGCGAGAGACTCTAAGTTTTAATTCCAACCGAAGTCTCTATGTTCGTCTTTGCCATCGTATCATGCCTTCACATCTTCATAAGCGAAATTATCGAGTTCCTCGAAAGATATGCTTCACAAGCAAATACCTGTCACACAACTCACCCTCCGGTTTCTTGAATCTTGACACAATGTACAGTCGCCGCTCGATATAAGCAACCTTTTAAATGCAGAATACCTGATGCTTAAAGGGAGCGATGCATCACTTCGAAGTAAGCATAAAAGCATATTTGGGAAGAAATTGACCCTAATGCTTATTTCATCAAAGTCAAAATTGCATATGATTTTTATTGTAATTGGCATAGATACATCATAGATAATAAAAAAGCATACAAAGCATAAGAGGGCATACAAAGCATAAGAGTGTATGTCTAGGACAACGACACAAACATTTAAGACATCTGGTTTTATTCACCTTCATGGAATAGGCTTGGGGCAAAGAAGTCGGTGATACATTTTTGATTCACAAATTTGAAGCGGGCAGTACTAACATCATTTCGAAGCGAGTGTAAGGCTGTGATGTGCTTTCTCCAGTCGGGTCCATGATCATCCACGAGTTCATCTATTTGCTTATCAATTGAAGACATTTTGATTGAGGATGTAGAGCAGGATAGAATGCTGAAACAAAAGTGGTGTAGGGTCGACTTGATAAAATTTGATGGCTGGGTCTTAGTCAAGCAGAATTGCTATCAGGATTTGGGTCCACTGATTTCTTTCGAGTCCCACTGGCATACCTACTGTTTTTTTCCTCACCTGTCTGGAATCTAGATGTTTCTAGGCCACTCTTTATAAGCATACATGACTTGAGAGTGGTTACTTATGCTTATAAAGCCACACTTTCTCGTTCCTTGTAAGCATATTTCCAGAAAAAAAATGCGTTTAGCCTATATGCTAAAGTGCTCCAATTAAGCCCCCCGCATTTTTGTTTCACTGAAATTTGACCCTTATAGCGAAATATGCTAACTCGATGTGTGCTTATATCGAGCGGCGACTGTACGTTGCTTGACATTCATGTGTTTCTGATAGATAAAGTTGAACATTTGAGGAACGTAAACACACACACACACGATTTTTAACGCTCATCAGACAATTGACACTCACACTTCATGATGAACTCCGGATTCTCAAGCTCGATAAAATATTTACTAAAATGGTTGAAGATTCGGGACAATCAAGCTTATGCATTATGTATGTAGATCTGTTTTTGTAAGTCTTCATTTTGAACCATCAACATTAACCCGAAATCCGAAGATGAATCCGTTTTGTTTTTCTGGGATAAGCTCTTTATGAATATGCTATGAAATCAGAATGGAAAAGTGGAAGTGTATCCTGTGGTTTGCGTGGAAGGTGTTGCGATGTAGTTTTGCTTGTTGAGCTTCAGGCTGACAGCATGTGGGTGAACGGGTGGTACATGTAGTTAAGAAAGCCTTTAGCGACTAGGCAAAGTGAGTCGCATGGAAGTTGAGGAATGGGTCTCTTTTGCGTTTTGGATACTTTGAAGTATCTGGTTCACGCTAAACGGCCGCAGAGGGCAGGCTTGAATTGAATCATGAGAGAGGAAGCCTGAACTACGTATACACACAAATGAAACAGAGAAATGAGATAAGCACGTGTTCTACCACCCTCGTAGTATATAGAGTAGTGATGGTAGGTTTTTGAGTAGTGATGTAGAATGATGATTTAGTCAAATCTGAATGAAGGTGTAGGACTCTATGTGCTTAATCTAAATGTGAATAAACTGTTTGCCAAACGGTGTAACCACGTATCAGCCGTCTATGGGATTGAAGCTGTTAATTTTTCTGAAAACATTCAACGAGAATGACTGACAATCTTCCATGAAGTGGTATTTCCACATTGGAAGGAGGTAGGAATTGCAGAGGCTGCACCCTATGAAGGAACCCTGTGTGATTCCTTGAATGTTAGCGTGTATTCGACAGAGGATTACAGTCTTGAATGAAGACTTACTCAATGCTGCCCATGACTATACGTGTCAAATGGGTTGATCACTTATTTCTGGCCCACGGCTGTAGGAAGAAAAAAGTAATGAAACATCAGCGGATCGTTTTCCTGTGGTGTTTGAGAAAAATCTGGAAGATTTTTTGAATAAGCTGGGCTTATGAATGATGTGGAGGCTTACGAGAACAGCTCCAGGAAATTGAATGTGTTTTCCCGTGGTGAAACCAGAGGCTTGAGTGACGCGTTGGGTTTTGTTCAAGTTCAGGAGCGGGTGCGTGCAAATGTAGGTGCGAAACGCTTCTGATGACCATCGTCCTATGCATTGGATGGTATCCATGTCCATTCCGTTTTGTGCATAGGCCGTTGCTCCTCCTGCGCGAAGTGAATGGCCGGATCTTGAATTTCCAAATATTTCTTGAATGCGCTTCATAAACCAGCTTCGCGTGGGTTGGCGACCATTTTCTCGAATCAGCCAGAATGGTTGAATTGGGAATCTTTTGTCGCGAGCTTGAGTATAGTTGAGAAGTGTTCTTACTGGACATGTTCGGTCTCCTGGTCTATTGACTATGGTGACTGGAGTACCTTTAAAATTTGGGTCGCCTTTGTGGTAAGGAAGATTGTAGCATGCGACGGATCCACATAGGGAAATGACAAGAGAAGATCTTCTAATTGATTTTCTTTCGTTTTGGAGATTTAAGGTATCCGGTATGGTGAGTTCCCCTAGGCGATGTAGGCCTGAGAAACCTAGTGCTAAGATGGTGTTAAACAGAGCATCGTCAAACGAGGAGTTGAAGTAATTTGCTGAGATGGTGATGTCGTAGATGGTAAAGGCGTTGGCTTGTATAACAGGTTTTGAAAAGAGTTTCTGACAACCTCGTAGCAATTCTTTAACCTGAAGGGAATTGCGGGTGATTAGGACTATAGGATACTGATCACGCATGGAGTGGGAGATGCCAGTGAGGTATTTTCCCACTGTGTCAGGTAGCACCTCTCTGGAGATGACGGAAATGAAATGACATAAGTTGGTCTCGCTAGGGTATGGTCGAATGTGGTGCTCCTTGCAGAATTTCATGAATCTTCTATAGCCGGAGGTGTACTTTGCGACTGTAGATTTCTCCAGACAATTGTTTATGTCGAATTTGTTCAATGATTCTCGCTCTTCGAAGGAGAGGGGAACTGCAGGGATCTTTTTGCTTCTCGTCATCTTCGACTATGATAGAGATGGGAGAGAACGGTCTTGGTGGCCTCCTACGAGGGTAGAAGGATCGGGAGAAAACGTTCTAAGGTGAAGACGTGGAACCAAAGAGCGGGCTAAGTCGAATTGGCCTTTTGAGAGAGCGTCCGCGACTCGATTGTTTTGTTGTGGAACAAATCGAACCTTGACGTCTATTGGGTGAGAGAGCATTAAGTTGATAGCATATTTGAAAAGTGACCTAGCGGTTGAGGTTGGACGGTGAGAGGAGAACAGGTACAAGACTGATTCGGAGTCCGTAAAGATAACTGTTTTTGAGGCTTTGAAGTCAACCGCCATCCTAATGGCTGAGACAACGGCTAAAAGCTCTGCCCAGAAGCTGTTACGGGATGGTGGTGGTAGTGAGCAGCTCCAGGCACAGCCATTTGATGGTTGCCAGAAACCAAAACCTGTAGGACACGCGTCTGTGAAAAACATACAGTCAGCGTCAGAGATAGCCCAATGCAGGTGTTTCAGTACGTGTCGGCCTGGCCAAGCTTCGAGTGCATCCGCTAGCCAGTTTAAATCTTCAACGTTCAGACGGTTGAGGGGAATATGCGCATTTCTAAGTGATTTTCCTGCCATTTTATCCCATGAGGACTGTAAAGCCCATCTTCCCAAAGGAAAAATGTTGAGGCCCCAGTTGGCCCAACCCGTGATGCGCTGCCAGTCAATCAGGGGGTGTGAGAGAATAGAAGTGAAAGCACGAAGAGCCACAATGAGGGAGATACGTTTTCCTTCAGGAAGGGAAATGGAAACTTCTTCACAATTGACTGAATATCCAATAATATCTAAGGTGCTGCCGAAAATTTGTTTTTCCCAAGCCCACGGAAGGTTAATGAAGTCGAAAATGGATAGGAATTTAGCTTGATTCAAAGAGATCTGTTTGCCTTTGAAAGAAACCATGTCTGTAGCTAGACTTATACCCCATGAGTCGTCCATATATGCATTGAGTTCTGTAATATTAAACTCATAACTAGCAAATTGGGCGGCGGGCGCCGCCATTTTAAACTCTGAGAGCACTGTGGCTTCTAGATGTTATTATGTTTCCAATGTGATTCAAGCTACTCATAGTCGGCAAGAATGGATGCTAATTCACAGAAACAAATATCACCAGCCGGTGTATTACATTTCCAAAAGGAGTCACACACTCATGAACATGAACATGATCATGTTCATTTTTGAACTATGTGATTTCCACATGAATAGTCTTGAAACAAAAGCAAATATAATGGTTGCCTTCATTCTATGACACAGACAACCACCTCTTTTGATTTCATATTTGACATCTGAAATTTGCAAGCTCAGAATACATGTTTTTGCACCTCTTTTGGAAGTGCAAAAAACACCAAATTGTGCTTCATTGAACAAAGGAAGTTGAAGAGAATGCTCAGTTTGAATGGCTTCAAAATTTCTCAATCATTGAATCAGATGCTTTGATTGAGTGACCAATTGACCAAGGAAACTTTGGCTTGAAATGCTGTCAAACTTGACATGAATTCTGTTGATTTGTAGGAAAGACATTTATGGCACATGTGATCAATGCTTGTGAAATCATTTGCAAAATAACAGTGGAGTTCATGTGGTTTGAAGCCTTCAATCATTTTGGGGATTGAGAGCTCATTATTTAACCCCTAAAACTCTTTTAGGTTTTGGGCTGCTGATGATTGTGTTGGATTGTGTCTATAAGTGATTCCCAATGTTCAATATGTTTTGCAAGGTCCCTAATTCAAAATTTGATCAAATCAACAGATCTGGCAGTTTGAGAATGATAATTGTGTTAGAGATCAATCCCATGATTTGACTCTCTCAAGAATTGCAAGACCAATTTTCTGGATGTGAAACATCTTGATTTGTTTGCCTCTTCCTTGGCAATTGTTATCAGAGCTATCACAAGACCTAAATATTAGAATCCTAAGCGCAAGTGGTGTGACCAGACTTAACCTGTTTAAGATAAATTTCCATATGTCAGTTTTTGGTTGAACCATAGATATAAAAATGGGGATTGAGAGGCTTTGTTTCCCAAAGTGAATCCAATCATGACTTTGTATAATGAAAAAGTGATATGATAATGTTGTTATTATTGTTGTTGAATTTGAAGTCTTTTCTTCTTCTTTGATCTCAAATTCTTTTTCTGTTAATGGTCTTTAATAAAGTTCATTTGGGCAAGTTTCACTCTAAACATCATCTAATACTTCTGATTTAATAACATCATCACTGTCATTGTGAGCACCAGGCAAGGTACAACTTTGGTGGAAGTCCATGATGGAGAGGTGTGTACAGATGTCGGAGATCACATATGCTTATAGCAGAGAAGACCTTAAGCAAGACTTTTTTGGTGGCACACTGTTGTAAAAAACTCACATTCCCTAACAACAGTACCACTGTCCTCACCCAAGCAGATCACATCTGAACACCGCTTCACTCTCATTACTCAAGTTTATTCCATTTTTAAAATACCACCTATCCCACCCAGCCAAGACCACAGGACTGGGGATCCTGCGCTATGAGCCGCTATGGCTCCACTCTTTTTCAAAAAGTAACATTACTCACAATGTTGCAGCGGTGAGCACACTGTAATTTTTCTATACAGCATGCTTTGAAGGAGACCACTATTAGCACATATATAGTGCACTACTTGAGGTAATGGAAAAGCAGACCAAAAATACAGGTCACCATTGTTCAAAATATTCATGGTCGTCCATGTCCCATACAATGGTGAGGTGAGGTGTGGCGTAAAGTAGGGAATAGGCTGGTTTGTTTGTTGGAAATGGTACAGATACCCTTTGTCCATCCAGTTGGTGCAGATATCTCTGCTATATAGTGGAAATATACCCCTTGGTTGCAGTGTGATTGCTCCAATATGGGAAAGACTGGCCCTGGATTGCGGTGCCTGGACTCCACTATGACATTTGGAGCATATAGCACACCCCAAAATAACTGTGATACCGCTCCACACGCCCTATTTAGTGCACAGCAGTTCAGGCATTGCCCTTTCTGAACAACTATGGGTTGATAGAGAACATACATTAAACTTTAGTTTGGATAGTACTTCTAGATGTGATACACATTGAGCACACAACCCGAAAAAAATGTATCAACCCCCAATCACAGGGGCCAAAACCAGAGCTCGCATAGAGGTGAGCATGAAAAGCCTTCAATATTTGTTCAAAAAACAATAATTTCCATATATCCTGTCATGTCACAATTTTTTGTTGTGCTCAGGTGATCAGCATGCAAAACTTCCATCTTGCTCAAGCATGCTCATTTTCATCTTGATTGAGCATCTCGAATGAGCATTCCTTGAGCATAGATGAGTACTCAGGAATCAGCTGGCACACCTCCACATACCCAGAATTGTGCCCATTATAATCAAGCCTTTGAAAGAAAAAAAACCATATGTAAACATGTCTAGATCAGCTATAATTGTTGTCATGTTTGCACTTTTTTTTGTTTTCCCCCCAAATACAGCTGACATGCAGCGCAGCAAACCTGCATCACACCGTGGATGGGGTCAACCCCGAAGCCTGTCTAGTCCTGAGAGTCACACATCCTCCCCTTGATTCACTCGCCACGTCAACAATTTTCGCATCCAATCCGCACGCTGAGTGATCACGATCTATTGCTGGTCACTTTCACTTTTGAATTAGCAACTCATCAAACTCAATTCACATACCAATCCAGGTAAGTTTCCTTCATTTTTTCAAACTGTTTTATATGAATAAACAACTGAGATCTTGAATCTCCTTTCTTGTAGTATGGGTGGATATCAAAAGCTAGAGCAGAATCTACTGGACTTGGATTCGAATGTGAAGGTAACAAGTTAATTCAAGATAAATAACAGTCAGAAGCAACGTTTATTTCAAGGGAAGGATTTTTAGGCATTCCTAAAGTTGATACATGGGCTTCAGTGTGTTGCGTGATTTGGTTGTGCTGGCATTTTACATAGATGTAAAAATATAACACGGAGCAAGGTTACAGGGAGTGAAGTTGTACTACTACAATATTGCGTATCACCCAGGCCGGTTGCAAACCTATCAATGACCGTCTCTTGAAGTGTAGCTCACCATCATCCATTGTGAGCAAGTTTTACTTTGAGAGAAGTATCTTGATAAGTTCAGCACGGTGGCCACACTGGCTCACGCCATGCCATCATAGTCGTTGACCTCTAGCACCCAAGGCACGAGGGCTCACGAGGGACATGCACGTGAAAATTACCCTTCCTTCTGACAAACATATACTTGTTGATCAGGTTCTGAATATCAGGTATGTTTTACTGCACACTAAGTGAATTTCATTGAAACCTTCATCTTTAGTTTTACTCTATATTCTCAAGTATGTATTGTAAAAAGATAAACAAAATCCAATGTAAGAGAAGAAAGATGAACACAAAGAGGAATGGAAAAGAAAAGAACGATCAAAAGAAAGACAAGTAAAGAAGTCTGATCTTTGGATTTTTTGTTTTTTGATTTTTTTTAAAAAAAAGGAAAGAAAGAAGATATATACAATTATAACAAATCAACTATGCAATGAAGACCAAAAAATCTTAAAACATAAAATTGAAGATTGATAGACTTTATAAAACTGGATCCAAAACAGATAAAGTAGGAATAGGATAACTAATTTCAATAAACTTTTTCAATTCTTCTCGATTTGAATCAGGTTGAATTGATGTATTAGAAAGACCGAAATCCTTTTTAATCGATTTAACTCCTTTATCTTTGCTGGCAATTTTAGCCTGATTTTCTGCATATTCCCAAAACTCATTACCCTTTCAAACACAAAATATTGGTTATTCACAGTTGATGTAAAGTGAGTAAGATGGAATGACAGAATAGAATCAAGATGAAAATCAAGAACTCAACTTGACTGTATACTGGATCACGCATCACCAAACTACGTTGAAGAGCAGCCATTCTAAGTCGACTAACCAGTGTATCTACTTGATGAGTAAGCAAACTCATTTGAATCACAAGTTTAGCTAAAGCAGTCGTATTAGATTCTTGAGTTTCAGTAATCACAGACCAACTACAAATACTAAAAACACAAGCAAAGAAGATATGTCTAATCTTATATATCTTATCACCTAACATTCTACCTTGATTGTTTGCATTCATTCTTAATGATGGGATGTGTAGTAAAACAAATACAGTCGTCACTTCAAAAAGTAAACCAAAGATGACTGTCATAGACATTCTTGAACTCCGAATTCTTCTTTTAGATTCTAATGAAGAAGCATTTGTAGCAAGTAAACCGATCGTAATGAGTGCTAATGCATATTTTGATGCAAGACAAGGTAAATGATAGTAGGAATGATCATTTTTATGATTAGCTTTTTTGATGGATGTCGACACCAATGACAGTTGAAGAGTGAATTGTGACCCAAAATTGTATAAAGTAACCGTGAATCAAGACTCGTGAGACGTTGAAGAAGACATTGTTGAGCGATTGGTGTATCATTTAATCCGTGTGCAGAATGATGCTTAGCGAGTGCAGCTGTAAGTGAAACTGATGGTGTATCAAGTGGTAGCCGCGTGATTGCGAATGGATTGTCTTTGGCTGGGTTAAAGGCAGGACATCTTAAAATGATGGTGATGTAGAGGCCTCCAAGTAGTATCCAACGTCCTGATCCTAATCGTTCGAAGGATTCAGAGGTTGAGACACGATCCACTGAAGTTTGACTTTGATCTGCCGGAAGACAATAACAAAGACGTAACCAAATCGCTCTGATTGTAGGTAAAGAACAATAGAGAAGTGGAAAGCCAAGAACCTATCATGAGAAGATTGTCAGTTTAGAGCTTGATTGGTAAATTGGAAAGATGAATGAATGAGACTCAACAATCAAAGTTTGCCAAACTTGAGCTGAGATTCCCAAGAATGAATCCATGATTATTAAGAAATGTTCTTTACCAACATAACTTGAAACAATCTGCACTGATGTCAATAAACTCACAGAAACAATCACCTAAAACGTCAAAAGAAATATGATCAAGTCAGAATTGTATTCAAAAAAGTGGAAAAACAGATCCATCACGATCTTCATCCCTAAATTTGATTTTCCAAGTCGAACATGAGCCTGAGAACATTTGTGTTAAC